ACCGATGCCCTACCACTCAGCCACACCGGCTTCGGAGAGATATATTTTTTCTATAACCATTCTGTTGACTTTTTCTCATAAAAGGATGTTTAATTGTGTCAGATGCTTTTTCTGAATCTATTGAGATGATATATGATTTTTATCCTTAATTTTGTTAATGTGATTTATCACATTGATTGATTTACAGATGTTGAACCGTCCTTGCATCCTTGGAATGAATCCCACCATGTTATGGTGTGTAATCCTTTAATGTATTGTTGAATCCAGTTTGCTAGTATTTTGTGGAAAATTTTTGCAACTGTGTTCATCAAGAATATTGGCTTGTATGGGTATTTCATATAAATGGAATTATACAATATATGGCTTTTTGTGTATGGCTTTTTGTGTATGGCTTCTTTCATGTTCTCAAGTTTCATCCAGTTATAACAAATATTAGTACTTCTTTAGTATTGATTTTAGAGAGGGAGGGAGAGGGAGAGAGAGATAGAAATACCCAAGATGAGAAAAAATTATTGATTGGTTGCCTTATGCACACCCCACACTGGGGATTGAGCCTGCAACCCAGGCATGTGCCCTGACCAGGAATCGAACCATGACCTCCTGGTTCATAGGTTGATGCTCAACCACTGAGCCACGCTGACTGGGCAGTACTTTTTTCCTTTCTATGGCCAAATAATTTTCCATTGTGTAACTAGACCACATTTTATTTATTAATTCAACTTAACTTGTTTCTACCTTTTGGTTATTTTGAATGATGCTGCTATGAAAATTCTTGTGCAAGTATCTTTAAAAAACAAAACAAAACATGTATTTTTATTGATTTCAGAGAGGAAGAGAGAGGGAGAGAGAGAAACATCACTGATGAGAGAGGATTATTGATCGACTGTCTCCTGCAGGCCCCACACTGGGGATCGAGCCCACAATCCGGGCATGTGCTCTGACCAGGAATTGAACCATGACCCTTATAGGTTTATGCTCAACTACTGAGCCACGCCAGCCAGGTTATACAAGTATCTTTTTGAGTACCTGTTTTCATTTCTCATATACCTAGGAGTAGAATTGTTGGGTCACGTGGTGACTCTATTTAACTTTTTGGAAAAACCACCAAACCGTGCTAAGCATTTTAACTACATTATGCATCCGGTTTTCGCAATGGCTCTGCCAAGGAGAATCCACCCCATCTTGGAAACAAGAACACCGAGGCTCAGAGGTGTAGAGTCGTGTGTCTAAGTGCACACAGCTAGGACACGATAGAACCCATCCTGCTGGGCTCAGCCCTCCCCTGGTCTCCCTGCTTCTGGCTATGGTGACTCCTCTCTGGGCAGCCCCCTGCATTTTGTATGTCCTCCCCATGTACCTCTGTAAGTGCAGGAGCTATCCTCCTCCTCCGGGCAGCTCCACCAGGCTCTGAGGCAGCTCTGGGAGCCGCAGCTGAATATGCAGGGCCCAGAGGCTGAAAAAGGAAGAGTGCTATGAACCCCAACATTTGAAGGGTATCCAGAGCGAAGCGGCAAAGGAACCTGAAAGCAGGACAGAGGGAAGGGGCTGAGGGAAGGTTGGAAGCCTTGGCCAGGTGTCTACGGCGTCGTTCCACTTTGGGCTCAGGAGACGGGCTCTGAGCTATTTGCCTTTGGGTTGGGGGTCTGGGTAGTGTGGCAGCTGCCCATGCTCCATGCCTAGGGGTAACTGGCAGACCAGGCCATTCTCCCTGCCCAGCCTAAGCAGCTCCAGCATCTCTGCTGGACAGGAAGGGGGGGCAGGATGCATGGATGTGAATCCCCTCTTATGTATCAAGTATCCAGGAGAATGATAGACACAGTATTAGCTAACATATACTGCATGCATGCTCCCAAGCAGCCCATGGAGAGAGTACATTCATCATGTCACCCCCGTTTTACATATACGGAGCAGGGTTCTAGGGCTCGGGGAGTTGGAGAAGGGCCCTAGGGAGTTGCCTGAGCAGGCGGATAGCCGGTGGGCAGAAGCAAGGGCTGGGCCTGCCTGCCGGTGGAGGCGGTTGTGCAGTGGGAAGGGGGCCAGCCCAGGCTGCAGTGTAGTGGCCGCCAGCTCTGCTCCAGGCTGAGCCTCAGCAATTCTGCTGGCTCAGCAGCCCCTCCTCCCAGGGATGAGATTGGAGGCCTGGCTTCCTGGAGGGCTGCCCAAGCCCCACACTTCTGCATCCAATCCCTCCGCTGGGCCAGCTGGCCTGCTCTGTGGCCCCCAGCCCCAGGGTTGGGGGATCCCTGAACATACACATTTCTGTTTTCATATGGATCCTCCCATCAGCCCTGGGCTTCAGGCAGAGCTGCCGGCCCATTTTACAGATGAGGCAGCTGAGCATCAGGCGCTTGTACAAGGAGCTAGCCAGCCACAGATCCAGGACTTCCTGGCCCTTCCTAGGGCATTCGCCTCACTGAACAGGTTGAATCTAGGAGAATCCATACAGCCCTCTTCCCAGGTCTGTCCTCCTGAAGGTGGACTACACAGCAAGGTGCCCACCCCTGGCCGTGAGGTGTCCCTGAGGGGTAGAGATGGAGCTGGAGCTGAGCAAAGAACAGAGGTGCAGCAGCTGCAGGCAGGGGCCAGCTCATTACCCAGAGGAATCAGAATTCTAAATTGGAATTTGGCCTGCCAGGTCATGATGAAGGTATATTTGTCAGAGTAGGATGATTGAACATATTTTATCGAACAGGTTATTAGCACGATTTATAACATTTAAATATTTAGACATTCACTGTGTGGGCGTCTGCTTGTACTCTAGCCCCAGGCCCTGCGAATGTTAGGCTCAGGCCAGAAAGGTTTACCTTAGCCAGCCAAAAAAATAGAAATAATAGTAAGGATGATTGCTATCTTTGTACTTTTTTTTTTTTTTTTTTTTTTTTGTAGTGTTTCTTATGTGCTACACTGAAGGGGTCTGCAGTCACAAAGATGAATAAAATACAGTTGCTTCTCAGATAGTCCAGGTAGAGAGACACAAGAATATCACAATAGTCACAGCAACTATTGGTTGAGCACTTAATAAGTTCTACTGCAGAGTGCTTTATTGATTGTATCATAATGTCTCCGCAAATAACCTAACAGGGATCGTTCCTTAAAAAAAAATAAATAAATTGATTTTTAGAGAGAGGAAGAGAGAGAGAAACATTGATGTGAGAGCAAAACATCAATTGGTTGTCTCCAGCAAGTCCCCTACTGGGAATCGAGCCCACCAATCAGGCATGTGTCCTGGTGGGAATCAAACCGGAGACCCTTCAGTGCACGGAATGATGTCCAACCGACTCAGACACACCAGCCAGGCTGGGAATATCATTCTTACCACATTGTATGGAGGGGAAGCTATGACTTGGAAAGACAGAGTGACAAAAAGCAAAACCCAAAACAATAAGGGGCAGAACTGGGACAAAGGCAGCTAAGACTAATGTGGGGTCTAAGCAAACACTCATGACCTCGAGACTTTGGGACTGTAGGTGAGTGGCGTGGCTTCTCGGAGCTTCAGTTTCTTCATCTGTAAAATGGACACAAGCTCATCTCTGAAGTGACTGGCACAGTTCCTGACTCAGCAGGTGCCTAGGAATTGGTCACCATGAAGGATAGGAGAAAGGGCCCTTGCATTTAGCGACCCCTCTGGCAGGCCAGATCCAGACCTGCTCCCTGAACTTCATGGGAGACCCCACTGGAGAGGGGGAATGATCAGCTGCTGGTCACCTTCCTCCTGGAGGTGCTTCATGGTCTGGGCTAAAGGAAGAGGGGCAATTGTATGTGCAAACTCACCAATTGTACAATATGTGCCTTGCCCCCCGGGGTAATAATCTTCCCCTCCCCGCCAATGAGCAAACAGCCTGAGCCAGGAGACAGACTTCAAGACTGTTATCTTCGGAATGCTACAGCCATTTCAAGGTGAGGGGCTGAGGCTCAGGAAGTCTGAAGGGTGAGACCTGTGTGAGTGTGTGTGTGTGTGTGTGTGCTGTAGGGGAGTCAGCATCTGTCAGGCAGCCCCTGTCTAGGGCTGCCAGAGTCTGAACCCCGAGGCCTAAGAGCACACAGGCTTTGTGGGGGGCTCAGATTGGTGTTGAGCAGGCCTGTGACCCTGCTGGTGCTGGAGATGGGGGATTGAAGACCCCTTGGCAATAGGTGGGGGCCGCACCCCAGTTTGGGGTGCTTCCCTGGGATTGGGGTCCAGATTGAAGCTTGGGAGGGAGGAGCTATTGCCCAGATTTGTGGGGAGAGCCAGAGAATTCCAGGGAAGAAGGTGCAGGGTGCAGGGCGCAGGGCGGCGCGGGGGTGGGGCGGTGCAGGTTCCCTGACACTGAATTCATTATGGGGAGATTCCCCTTCACCATCCCTGACACCTCCCACGGGAACCACAGGCCAGAAATGTGTGACAGCCTCCGGCGCGCCAACTCCCCTGGCACAGCTGGTGCTCTGGTCCCTCCGTGCCTGGGTCTATGCCCGGGTACCCGCCCGCCCCCTGCCGCCGAGCCGCTCCCCCGCCTGGGTCCGCAGCTTCTGGAAGCCGCTCTGGGGCTCAGCCTAGCGGCTCAAGGTCCATGTCCCGCTGCGTCCCCCGCCCCCGGCGCCCCGGGGCAGCGGGGGATTCGCTCAGGCCCGGCCTGACCCCGCGGCCCGCACGTGGGGAGGGGGCGCCGGGGCGGACGCGGCCGGTGTAGGGGCGGAGCCAGGAGCCGGGCGCGCGGCCGGTGCGGCGGGCGGGCGGACGGGCGGACGGAGGTCAGCGCCGCCGGAGAGGGACCCAGGCGTCCCGGAGGCGGTGCCAGGTGCCGCGCCCCCGCCCCGCGCCCCCCCGGCCCCCGCCTCCGGGCCGCCCCCCACCCCCCGCCCGTGACGCGCTCCCGCCCCATCCTCGCCCGGAGCCCGAGCGGAGCCGGCGCCGGAGGACGGCGAGGGGCGCGGGCGGCGGAGCAGGCGGCGGGGGAGGGAGGGGATGCGGCCGCTCTGAGCCGCGCAGGGCGCACGGAGCCAGCGCTGCGGCCCGGCCCGCCATGGGGAAGGAGCAGGAGCTGGTGCAGGCGGTGAAGGCGGAGGACGTGGGGACCGCGCAGCGGCTGCTGCAGAGGCCGCGGCCGGGGAAAGCCAGTGAGTGCGGGGGGCGCGGGGCGGGGCGGGGCGGAGGGGCCGCTCGGCGCGGAGCCCCTCACCCCTGGCGCGGGAGGGGGATGCTGCCGGTCCCCGGGGGCGGGGCGGGGCCGGTCCACACCCGCACCCCCGGGCGCTGCCGGAGGGGCGGCACCGAGAGCCCGGCCGTCATCCCGAAACCCCAGCGGGCACCGGGCGGCACCCACCTGCCCGTCTCGGCATTGGCATCCCTCCCTCCCTCCCTGCCTCGGTCCCTTTCTCCCCCCTCCCCGGGCTGTGGGCTGGCAGCGGGAGGTCTCCGCTGGGCCTTTAAAGGGCAAGGCGATGCCCTCCCCTTGGCGAGAGGGAGGGGCCCCTGGCGGTGAGGGGCATCCAGGCGCCTGATGGTCCCGGTCAGACCCCCCTTCCCTCCCCATGTTCAATAACGCGCTTTTCAGGGAAGGGGGGGCAGGTCCATGCTGGGGGTGTGGCTGCCCGGGCATGGCTGGGTGGGGGCCATTTGCTGCCAGGGGCGCAGAGGCCCAAGGTCGCCCAGCCCAGGCCAGGCTGAGCTCCAAGCGGGTGCAGACCCTGCAACAGATCCCAGCTCACTCTGGCTCCCCTGCCGGGAAGGAGGGCTGTGGAGAGGGCCAGGTCTCCCACCGGCCATCCTGAGCTGGGGCTGGGGGTACCCCAGGGAGGGGCTGGGAGCTTGGAGCCCTGATCCCAGCACTCATCCCAGCTCAGCCGGGAGCCTCCCTGGGGGCCGCCGGAGACGGATGGATGGATGGGCGTGTGGACCACATGTGCGGCTGCGCACGTAGGGCTGTGTCAGTGTACCAGGGCACCTGTAGGGGCGCGGGCAGGGCTCTGCAGGATGGCACGTGGAGTCTGGGGTCCCCACACCCTACACCACCCCCAGGAACGGCATGGAAGCCAGGGGGGGGCCCTTCGCCTCTCGCCAGGAAGGATGCTGAGCACTGAGGTGGGAGGCATGTCCTTGAGCCCCAGAGGGACCCTCCTGCGGCAGAGCCTGCTCGCCAGCTCCTGTCTGCTCTGTGCAATTAGAGCCGCACATCTGAGCCTGGCAGGCGCACAGACACAGGCCGGCCTGGCCTTCCACGGCCTCATCGGGGCTGGCTTCAGGGTCTCGGGATTTCGAGGAGACTGAGCCTCGAAAGCAGGTGGAGGGATCGAGACGTGGAAGGCAAGGTCAAGACTTCCACCTAGTGGTCGTGCCACCTCGCACATAAACAACTCACTCCCCAGGCCGCGTCTGCAGAACAGAACGGGGATGGGTGTTCCTGGTGCCTGTCTCCTGGCGTGCTTGTGAGAACAGTGAGAGAGCGAGCAGGAAGCCCAGGCTCTCACTGAGGCTCCGTACGCACCAACTGGGGCCATTTCCTCAGCCAGAGCGGGCAGGCCAGGAAAGTGGGAGCGTCAGATCTGGTGGTTCCTCCTCCCATTGGACTCTGGCCCCTTGGGGGGAAGGCGCGGGGACTTTTCCCTTTACCTGGGTCTCACCTGGATGTCACCACACACCCCTGCCTGCACTGGGCCCTGGGCTCTGACTCACCGGAGCGGGCTTAATAAGTCAGACGGAGAAATCCCTCCATGAATTGGCTCAGTCGTCATGACAACGCTGGCCTGCTTTGGAGTAAGATGTATTTTGATTCAGCAAAGTACAGCCGGAGTTTGGGCCATGGGGTGGGGGGTCCCCAGCCGTGCTCCGTAGGGCCCAGAGGTGTCTCCATGACCCTTGCTCCCATGATCTCCTTCCTGTGCGGGCACCTTCCCGTGGCCCCAGCCCCCCAGTGTGGCCCCAGGCTCTGTCAGCCCCACACCCCACCTCGAAGGGCACTCCCTTTCCACACACACAGGAACTGGCACCCTCAGCAGCTGTCTCTGACGGGGAGAGGGGAAAAGCCTGGATGAGGGCCGGCCTCATGCTGGGCGGGGGATACCCTGCCCTTCCTCCTGGCCCATGTGCCCTCTCTGAGTTTCCTGAGGACCACAGGCCAGTGCTCCTGTGTCCTCTCACGGTGGCCCACTGACGGTTCCCCTCCAGACTCTGACCCAGAGCCGCCGGCCTGGGGGCGGCTGGGAAGAGACAGCACTGGCCCTGCTTCCCGAAGAAGCTGGGTGGGACCTCGCCCCACGGAGGCCATGGGCTCAGCTGCTCTGAGATGAGACGGGAGGAGACCAGGGCCGCGTCCCTGCAGGGGAAGAGTAGCTCTGAGGGGCTTCTGTAGTGGGAGGAGCCTCTGGGCAGAGGGGTACGGGGCGGCCATGGGGGGAGGGTGGGAGAGGGGCCGGGCCTCTGCAGCATCGAGGTTGGAGCTGACCTCAAAGGTAGAGATGGTTCCAGGAGAGCAGTTACAGGTCAGGGGGGATCAGAGACGGAAGAGCACAGGTCATGGGGAGTGGGGATCTGGGTGGTGAGGTTTATGCGCTGTCACTGATGCGGAACCCATAGGCTTGGTGCTCTTGTGGGAAGGGAAAGCGGCTCCTAAGACTTCCAACTTGGTCCTCCACTTGTCCCCTTATCCCACCCTTACCCAACCCCCTTCCCCCCTCCCCCCCGCCTCCCCCATGCTCTGCTCCAGCTTCATTCAGAGCCCCTGTCTCCGCCTGGTTCCGCCTCCCCAGGCCTATGCAGATCCAGTCCTGGGACCTCCCTCAGGGCTCAGTGTCTCCCAGAGGAGTCAGGGGACTATTCCAAAACCTCCAGCTCCCCTCCATCCAATCCAGCTGTTTACCATGAAGCCCCTCCTCATGGGAGGAGGGGTCCCCTTTGGGATGGAGACTCCGCCTCCACTGGCGACTGTGTCACTTCCCGGGCCTTGACCTCCAGCCCCCCTGAGATTTCAACAGGTGTGGGCCAGGGGAGCAGGCGGGCCTGGCTGTGGGTGCCGCTCGGAGCATCTGGCTCGGCAGCTGCTTGAAGGCATCTGCTGAGGGAGGGAGGAAAGGGGGCTGGACTGGGAAGTCTTGCTGGAGAAGCTGAGAACTGGGTACTAAGAACTGAAACTAAGACAAGTGGTAGGTGGCAAACATTAGAATTGTGCAAGGTGTGTGTGTGGGGGGAGGGGGACGGGGCGGGATTGAGAATGTCCTGAGTGTGATCCTGGACAGGGTGGGAGCTGCTATAGGACAGCCATGTCTCAATCTCTCTCTCTCTCTCTCTCTAAATTCTCACCCGAGGATATTTTTCCCATTGATTTAAAAAAGAGCAGAAGGGAAGGAAAGAGGGAAGGAGGGAAGAAAGGAGGGAGGGAGGGAGATAGAGAGAGAAGGAGAGAAAGAAAGAGAGACATCGATGTGAGGCACATCAATTGTTTGCTGTCGGCACGCACCCAGACCACTCTAGCCACTGAGCACACTGGCCAGGGCATCACTGTCTTCAGTGTAATAAGGAACTGCAGCATAGGGCCCAGTGCAACATGTTGCCTTGTCCAAAATTAAGAATTAAAAATAGCCGGCACCGGTTTGGCTCAGTGGATAGAGCGTCGGCTTGCGGACTGAAAGGTCCCGGGTTCGATTCCGGTCAAGGGCATGTACCTTGGTTGCGGGCACATCCCCAGTAGGGGGTGTGCAAGAGGCAGCTGGTAGATGACTCTCTCTCATCGACGTTTCTAACTCTCTATCCCTCTCTCTTCCTCTCTGTGAAAAATCAATAAAATATATTTAAAAAAAAAAAAAAGAATTAAAAATAGCAGTTTGAATGAACAGATGTAGATATCTATACTAATAAAAGGAATATATGCTAATTAGACCAAGAGACCTTCCAGAAACCCTTCTGGACAAAGCCATGGTGGTGGGGCCGAGGCAGAGGCAGTTAGGGACAATCAGGCCAGGAGGGGAGGGCAGTTAGGGGTGATCAGGCTGGTGGGATCAAGCAGGCTGGTAGGAGGGGCAGTTTGGGGGTGAGAAGGCTGGTGGGGGGGGCATTTTGGGGCAAGCAGGTTGGCATGCAGAATGGTTAGGGGCGATTAAGCAGGCAGGCAGGTGAGCGGTTAGGAGCCAGTGTCCCGGATTATGAGAAGAATGTCCGACTGCCTGTAGGTTCGGGCCTAAACCAGCAGTCAGACATCCCCTGAGGGATTCCAGATTGAAGAGAGTGCAGGCCTGGCTGAGGGACAACCTTCTCCTGTGCACGAATTTCATGCACCGGGCCACTAATAAAAGACCAGAAATAAGGGAGGTTTCAAAGTTAAGAACTAAAACATCTCATCATTTGTATTGTATCTCTTTAGTCAAAGTTATCCTAATATACTTGCACCTTGTGGCTTCTCAAAAATGGTTCAAAGGATTAAAGAAATCACCCTGTAAACAGATAAAAGAATGGAACATAATGTAGGCTTACCAATCCCATAATATTAATTAGGAAAAGATTAGTCCATTTTCCAGAGATTTCCCTTTGAGTCAATACAATTTTTCTATCGGGACAGCAACAACATCAAAAAAGAATTTAAGATGACGAAGAGCAGAGCATCCAACCAGATGGGGGGCCCTTCTGCATGACTGTGAAGTCACACGCCTGAGACTGGCCCTGGCCGGTGGACGGACTGTGGGACTTGGATCTGACCTCAGCCTCTAACTTACTGGGCACCTTGTATGCGCCGGGCACTTGTATGGCACTGTTTCAGCTACCAAGGGGACAGCAGTGAGCCCTGGTCCCCTTGGAGCTAGCAGTGTAGTGACGGAGATGGGCCATAAACAAGTCAAAGGCGGTGATGAGGCCAAAGAGAAATACACAGCAGACCTGGGGTGGGCATGGGGGTTACTATTTTATTTTATTTTTTATATATATTTTATTGATTTTGTACAGAGAGAAAGGGAGAGAGATACAGAGTTAGAAACATCGATGAGAGAGAGTCATCGATCAGCTGCCTCTTGCACACCCCCTACTGGGGATTTGCCCGCAACCAAGGTACATGCCCCTGACCGGAATCGAACCTGGGACCTTTCAATCCCCAAGCCGACGCTCTATCCATTGAGCCAGACCGGTTTCGGCGGGGTTACTATTTTAGACGGGCAGACCACGCAGGGGACATTTGGATAAAGACCTCAAGGACATGAGGTGAGGAGTCGTAGGAACAGCTGGCGGAAGAAGAGCCTCACATGTGTGTGTCACGTGTGCAGTCTCAGTGGAGGGTGGCCAGGGGGTCGGAGTGCCAGGATGTGGCTGGGACGGGCGCTGAGGAGGTCCGGGGCTGCGTCGTGCAGAGCCACTGTCCAGTGAGACAGGTGCTGCTGGGGGTCTTCCTGTTAGAACCGTGTCTGACAGGGTTCCCGCGGGTGTGGAGGGGGCCCGGGGGGCCGGGGAGCACGAGGGCACCGGTGGCGAGGTGAGGGCAGTGATCCCTCTAGAGGTGCCGGCCCGGCCCAGGCTGGTAGCGATGGCGGCGGTGAGCGGTGGTAAGATCCTGGGTGCGCTCTGAGCGTGTCTTTTTTTTTTTAATATATATTTTATTGATTTTTATTTATTGATTTTTAATATATTTTATTGATTTTACATAGAGAGGAATTGAGAGGGATAGAGAGCTAGAAACGTCGATGAGAGAGAAACATCGACCAGCTGCCTCTTGCACACCCCACACTGGGGATGTGCCCGCAACCAAGGTACATGCCTTGACCGGAATCGAACTCGGGACTCTTCAGTCCGCAAGCCGACGCTCTATCCACTGAGCCAAACCTGAGCGTGTCTTAAAGCTAGAGCCCACAGGGCTCACCTGTGGAGAAGATTCACGGTAGTCTGGAAGGGACGCAGGGCTGACTTCCGGGTCTTGGCCCGGACCACCGAGGGGACGATGGCATTGCTGCTCAGATGGATGGATTTCCGCACCAGCGGGGTCTGAGCAGAGGGCAGGGGCAGGGCGGGGTGATGCCCCTCTTCCTGGAGCTTCTGCTCGGAGCGGGAGAAGCCCCCCATCCCTGGAGGGTGTGGGTGGGGTTCCCGTAGAGCTAATATTAGTCATCGCTACTCACGGAGCTGGCTCCTTGCCAAACCCTCTCTGCTTTATGTCCGGAAACGTCCTTAGGTCTCCGAGGCCCGTCCTGCGAGCCCCCTTCAAGCTCATTGCCGAGGCCACAGGGGTGGCGTGAGGGCTGGGTAAAGAGTCGAACTTGGGCCTGTATCACTCTGTGCGCTTTGTGGGCCATCGGGGGACCCGCACCCCGCACTGAGCTGCCCTGCCCAGCCCCTCTGTGACTTGACTCCCTTGGTTCCCTGCCCTCGGGTCCCCCTGCCCCCATCCCTGTCCTGGGCCTGGACAAAGGGGCTTCTGTCCTGCCAGAGCAACTGACCCACAAATAGGTTATGTAACCATGGCCTAGACAGGCAGGGGCTTGGCCTGAGTCTGGCTGGACCTGAGCCCACGGGGAGGGTGTCAGGGGCTCCCCTCTTTTGGCAGGCAGCTCCTGGGGGCCCCGGAGGAGACTGCAGCCCCGAAGGGAGGATGGGGCCCCTCGGGCTGCAGGTGGTTAATCCTAGGACCTGAGTGTGCCCCTGAGCATGTATATGAGGTGGCCCTTCTCATGTGGTCACTCCGAGGCGCTGGCCAATCACCGTCCTTCCCTTCCTGCCCCGTGAGGAGGGCTCCTCTCTCCTGGCCAGCCCCAAGGCTGGGCTCGGGGGGGCTGCATCGTGGAAATGCAGATCTTCCCTCAGAGACACCCTCGTTTCTGGGTGTCCCAGCCTCCCGGGCCACCCCCGGCCCATCTGGGTCCTTCTGAGAGACAGATTGGGCCGGCTCTCTCCCTCCCACTATTGGCCGGGGATACGTTTGCACATGTGTGTGCCTGTGTGGGTGCCCATCCCCGGCTCCTGTCTACAGGCAGGGACAGGCCTGGGGACCTTGGACCTGTGACCCTCCTCCCAACATCTGAGTTTAGTGGGAAACCAGGGTCTAAAAAGCCGGGGCTGAGTGCAGGGAACGGAGCTGAGTGAATGAGTGAATGAACGAACGACTGTTTCTAGACTAAACACACAGATAGCGTTGGCTCTGAGCCTGCCAGGGAGCCAGCTAGCACCCTCTGCCTGCGTGGAAGCTGGGCCCAGGCAGACTCCCTCACTTGTGTCTCCTCCCCCCGCCCAGAACTCCTGGGCTCCACCAAGAAGATCAATGTCAACTTCCAGGACCCGGATGGGTGAGTTCTCAGCCAGGGCAATGCCAGTGTGGGGCGGGGGTAGAGGAGGGCTTCTGGGGGAGGCTGGATGCCTGAGTCTCTGCCCGTACGTGTTTGCCACCTGCCCCAGCTTCTCTGCCCTGCACCACGCGGCCCTGAACGGCAACACGGAGCTGATCAGCCTGCTGCTGGAGGCCCAGGCTGCCGTCGACATCAAGGACAACAAAGGCAAGGCCTGGCCGGGACCACAGAGCAAGGGGAGGGGCTGAGGTCAGGGGTCCCTCGAGGACTGGATGGTTCTTCAACTGAGGTCTCCACCGGAGCCTCAGGCCGGGTCCAGGCAGGTCCTCTTGGGACCTGCACCCCGGAGGTCCACGGTGGGCTCCGGGTGAGAGGCCAGCTCCCGTGGCTCCTGCCTGCCCCCAGGCATGCGGCCACTGCACTACGCGGCCTGGCAGGGCCGGAAGGAGCCCATGAAGCTGGTGCTGAAGGCGGGCTCCGCGGTGAACATCCCGTCGGACGAGGGCCACATCCCCCTGCACCTCGCAGCCCAGCACGGCCACTATGACGTGGTGAGGACCCCCCCCCCCCCAGGGGCGGTGAGCGTGGGAGGCGTGAGCCTGGCAGCACCGGGCTGACGGCGCTCTGCACCCGCACGCAGTCCGAGATGCTGCTGCAGCACCAGTCGAACCCGTGCATGGTGGACAGCGCCGGGAAGACGCCCCTGGACCTGGCCTGCGAGTTCGGCCGCGTTGGGGTAAGCCTCCCGGGGAGCTGAGCGCCACTCCCGTCTGCTCCGCGGCCTCTTCTGGGGTTGGCGTCGGGGACAGTCCCGCACTCCCCCACCCCCGGCCTATTTCTGGATGCCCCCTCCTCTGACCCCCCCTTCAAGGTGGTCCAGCTGCTCCTGAGCAGCAACATGTGCACGGCCTTGCTGGAGCCCCGGCCGGGGGACACCACTGACCCCAACGGCACCAGCCCCTTGCACCTGGCGGCCAAGAACGGCCACATCGACATCATCAGGTATGGCTCCGCGGGGGTGGGGTCCCAGCCTGGGGCTCTGCTCCGGGCTCGCTGACGAGATGGGAGCGGTCCTGGAGCTGTGTGCCTCCGGACGCCGCGGGCACCTCCAGCTGCCCGCCTGAGGGATGTGCTAGAAGGGGATGGGGCGTGGGCATCCGTGGCCACAGAGCCCGGGCTCTGTGGCAGTCCTGTCACTTGCTGGTGACTCCGCGGGTACACTTAACCTCTCTGAGCCTCAGCTCTCCCATGGGCATCACCGCAGTCCCCATGGGAACAGGCGAGATAGCCTCTGGGCAGGGTTAGCACAGGGCGGGCACTGCCACAGGTGTTTCCTCACCGTCAGGTATGTCGTCAGGGAGACGGGCAGGGCTGGTTAGTCCTTAGGCTCTTGGACATCGGGGCTCAGCTCAGGGTGCCGGGGCAGAGGGCTCCTGCTGTAGGCCCCGCCTGCTCCCCCCCACCCCCCCCTTCCCGCCAGACTCCTGCTCCAAGCTGGTATCGACATCAACCGTCAGACCAAGTCTGGCACGGCGCTGCACGAGGCCGCCCTCTGTGGGAAGACGGAAGTGGTTCGGCTGCTGCTGGACGTGAGTCGGAGGCCCGGGGGGCGCGGGATCCAGGGCAGGGTTGGGGGGGGACGGGGTGCTCCTGACAGACCTCACCTCCCCGTACGCGCAGAACGGGATCAACGCCCACGTGAGGAACACGTACAGCCAGACGGCCCTGGACATCGTGCACCAGTTCACCACGTCGCAGGCCAGCAAGGAGATCAAGCAGCTGCTGCGAGGTGGGCCCGGCTGGGGCAGGGGGTCCGGAGCGGGGCCTGGGCCGGGCTGGTTGGAAGGACTGGGGCGTCTACCTCCTGTGTCCCCAGAGGCCTCGGCGGCTCTGCAGGTCCGGGCGACCCAAGATTATTGCAACAATTATGACCTGACTAGCCTCAACGTGAAAGCCGGGGACATCATCACAGTAAGGATGGCCGGGGGCCGCTGGAGCTGGGATGTTCACCGCACTTTCCCCCTCAACCACTGGGGAGCCAGGCGGTCTGGGCAGAAGGTCCAGGCCACCCACACGCTTGACCCAGCAGTCTCCCTGCGTGTGCTCTCCCCGCCTCATCTGGCCAGGTCCTTGAGCAGCATCCAGACGGCCGATGGAAGGGCTGTATCCATGACAACCGGACAGGCAATGACCGGGTGGGCTACTTCCCATCCTCCCTGGGTGAGGCCATCATCAAGCGAGCAGGCAAGTCCTACCCAGGTCCGGGCTCAGGGGCCAGAAGGAAGTCAGTGCCCACGTGTGTGTGGGATGGCAGGGCAAGGACCGAGCGCTAGCCATTGCTGGGCGTAGGGTCCAAAGTGGTGCTCGGAAGCATGTCCTGCCAGCTGTCTCCGCACCAGTGTCCTCATGCCCATCCCTTCAGTTATTCAGCTGACCTTGCACACTGAACTCTGGGAATAGATGGTGACGCATGGACATCAGTCCTGCTTTCAAGGAGCTTGCCCCGAGGGATGGAGGGGAGCAGGGGACAGGGAAGTAAACATGGAATAAAACATACCAGCCAATGGCAGAGACTGTGGATGGAGACGGGGTGGTCAGAGGAGGCCCTGAGGAGTGGGAGGGACTGGCTGCAGGCAGAGCAATCCAGGCAGCGGGAACCACGCGTGCGAAGGCACTGAGGCCGGAGAGAGCGTGGTATGTGTGAGGGTCCGTAGGAAGCCAGCATGGCTGGCGTAGAGTTAGGGAGAGGGAGAGGGGGGAGGGCGTGGCCCCAGGGCCATGGAGTGGTTTCAGGCAGGGGACTGGTGAGATCACAGAGGGGGACAGGTGGGACCGAAGCGAGAGTGGCCCAGTCAGGTGAGGTAGCTAGTCCACCCGTCTGACTGGACCACTAGCTTTCCTGGGGTGGAGAGCAGGGAACAGAGCCTCTTTCCTCCCCGCCCTGTTCCCTGGCACAGAGCAGGTTTCACCCTCTGCAATCTGCACCCCTCCCCCCGACGGACCACAGGGCCGTGTAAGCCGGCAGGACAGCCAGGCTCGGGCTCCTCTCTGCCTCCTTCTCCCGCTCTCCAGTGTCTACGGGCTCTCGGGGCAGGAGGAGACGGTGCTGACAGGCGTGCTGTGTTGGGCCTCTACCTAGGCGTGGGCTGGGCCAGGGGACGCCCTCCTCTCGGTGTCTGGCTCCCAGGCCGGGCTGGTCCGATACTCAGGGAGGCCATGGCTGGTCCACAGGTCCCCGAGCAGGTGCTGAACAAAGCTCCCCTCAGGGAGGCGGCTTGCCGGGAGCCGCAGCGCCACCCGAAGAGATCTGGGTGCTGAGGAAGCCTTTTGCAGGTAGGCGGGGCCTCTGGAGGGCAGGGCCAGAAGGCAGCCCCCCGGGCTCGGCAGGGCCAGCGCTGGCTGATGTTCCCCTGCGCTGGCAGGTGGAGACCGCAGCGGCAGCTTGAGCGGCGTGGCTGCTGGCCGGAGCAGCGGGGCCCACACCCTGCATGCAGGCTCTGAAGGGGTCAAGGTAGGTGGGGGGGTGTGTGTGTGACAGGGCCGGGGTGGCCTGGGCCCAGAGCAGCGCTGGCCAGCTCACCTGTCTGGGTTGCAGCTCCTGGCCACAGTGCTCTCCCAGAAGTCCCTCTCCGAGTCTAGCCCCGGGGACAGCCCCGTCAAGCCTCTGGAGGGCTCAGCAGGTGAGAGCAAGGAGGCAGCACTGCCGTCCTGGCCGACAGGTAGCCTGTGAGCAGCCTGTGGCCCACCAGCCCTCTCATCCCCAGGGGCGGCCAGGTCCCAGCCTCCAGGGTCCCATGCTGGGCAGGTGTACGCGGAACTGCCGTCCAAGAAGCTGGAGTCGGCATCGGAGGGCAAGGTACAGGGCTTGGGCCGGCAGCAGGGAGGGGTGCCCGGGGCAGCCTGCCTGGCCTGGCCTGGCCTGGCCACAGCACAGCCGGGGGCTCTGGACAGGCTAGCCCCCTCCTTCTGTCTGTCTCAGTCTGCGTGTGTAGGTGTTGTCTACTGTGTGGGCCGTGCATGTGAAGTAATACGTGTAAGAAGTGTGCACGGGTGTGAGGCGAACCAGGGTGTGCGTGTGTGTGTGTGTGGTGTGACTGTGAGGCGGGCACGTGTGCATGTGTGCGTGTGTATGAAATGGCACGTGTGAGACAAGACAAGCTGTGGACGTGGGTGAGCAGGGTCCTGTGTGCGTGACGTGCGTGCTGGGGAAGCGGGAGCTGCTGGCTGGGTCCCGGGGAGTGCGGGGCAGTGCTGAGGCCCGTCCAGAGCCTCACTGGGGCCACACTTAGGGGTGTCCCCGGTGCAGGCATGGGGGGGATGGTCAGGAGCCGCCGAACCTTCCCGGTGGAGAACACAGAACGAGGCTGCAGTGCCCTGCGGAGCTCAAGACGGCGGCACCAGGACCACAGAGTGAGGAGGGAGCACCGGTGCCAGACTGACGGGGGCCTGGCTGCGCGGACCGTGGACGGCAGACCGAGCTCGCACACCGGAGGCACCGCGGCGGCCGGGCGTGCGCCTGGCGGGTGGGCGGTGGGCGGGCCTGCAGCGGGTGCCTTGTGTCTTGCAGAGCGCCGAGGCCGTGAGCCAGTGGCTCGCCACGTTCCAGCTGCAGCTGTACGCCCCCAACTTCCTCAGCGCCGGCTACGACCTGCCCACCATCAGCCGCATGACCCCCGAGGTGAGCTGCCCGAAGGCCGGCCGCCAGCCGTGACCCGGACACAGAGCCCCCACCCCCAGCTAACGGGCTCCTCCTCTAACCAGGACCTCACGGCCATTGGGGTCACCAAACCCGGCCACCGGAAGAAGATCACGGCAGAGATCAGCAGCCTCAGCCTCCCCGACTGGCTGCCTGAGCACAAGCCCGTAAGGCTCCCCGCACCCCGTGGCTGGGCCCGGGACGGGCAGGTAGACAGACAGACTGCCTCCCTGGCTCCGCCCTCCGCTGCCCTCCGGCGCTCCAGGGAGAGGAGGCCAGGGGACGGCCCCTCAGCAGCGGCCCCCCTGACGGCGATTGTCCATCACGGGCACGGGGACCAGCCTCCCCAGGGCAGGAACGGGGGTGACCTGTGAAGGCCGTCAGGGTGCGGGGAGCACACCTCTCTCCACTCCCCGCTCCTGCAGCGACCCCCCCTCCGTACCCAGGCAGTCTCACAGGGTCACCGGCACCCCAGCCACGCTGCCCATGGCACCCCTACCCAGACACCAGAGGGGGCCTGCAGTGACGGGATGTGCGTGCACGCCATCAGGCACACGCGTGGGGAAGATGCGTGAGTGAGCATGCGACACGTACACAGACAGCACACGCACACCAAGCATATTCCAGGTGCCCATTGACGACGGCGGGCGCACCCCCCCCCCCCCCACTGAACCGCACGTGCCAGCTGTGTTGACAGCTGTCACCTGCTCTGCCTGCAGGCCAAGCTATTGCTAACAGGCACGCATATGGTGGAACCGGTTCTGGGCCAGGAGGAGGCAGGCTCAGGGCCCATTGCCTCTGTGCTGCCTCTGGTTCTCATGCAGAGCTGATTCCCCGTCCTGTCCCTGACGCCCGGGCTGTGGGTCAGGGACAGGTAGGTTGACACCCATCTGCCTTGCCGCACGCCGCCAGCGGCCCAGGGGTCCTCCCGGCGAGCACGCCAGGGCCCAGGGGCCTCACCCTGCTCTTGCGGACGGGCTGTGCGTTGGGGCATCGGCGACGCCCCTGCTGGGGGTGTGTTAGGGTGGATGCCGTTCAGGAAGCCGCTGGGTGGTCCTGGGTGAAGGCTCCCGTGGCTGCTTGCACACACGTGTGGTGTGGCCGTGTGACTGTGCCTGACGCGGGTGGGAAGCTGTGAGAGGGTGTGAGCGTGACACAGAGGGGAGTCAGTGCCCGTGTGTGGTTGCGATCCAGGGTGTGCGTGCCCACGCATCTGATCGGTGGTGCTGTGTGTCTGCGTCCACGCTGTGTGGTGTGTGTCCACTGGGTGCCGTCCCCGTGGCTGCCTGGACAGGTGAGGAAGTGCGGTCTTTCCCGAAGTGTCCTCAAGCTAGGGCTGCCGTGTGTATGTATGTGTGTGTGCGCGCGCGCGCGTGCAGGTGTGTATGTGTGTGTTTGTGTGTGTGTACGTGCACGTGAGCTGGACGTGGGCTCCTGCTGAGGCTGCGCTGTCTCCAAAGCTGACACTCCTGTTGGTTTGTCCTCTGTCTGTCTGTGCCGGGCTGGCCCGAGGCCCCTGCCCCAGCAGCTCCCAGCGGTCCACAGGCCTTGCGTGGGGAGCCAGCGCCGGCTGCCCTCTGTGTCCCCTGCTCTGCGTCTAGGCGAACCTGGCGGTGTGGCTGTCCATGATCGGCCTGGCCCAGTACTACAAGGTACTGGTGGACAACGGCTACGAGAACATCGACTTCATCACCGACATCACCTGGGAGGACCTGCAGGAGATCGGGATCACCAAGCTGGGTGAGGCTCCCGCCCCGCCCCTTCCCGGTCCTTGCCGCTCTCCCTGGCCTGACCGGCCCCCCGCCCCGCCCAGGACACCAGAAGAAGCTGATGCTGGCGGTGAGGAAGCTGGCGGAGCTGCAGAAGGCGGAGTACGCCAAGTACGAGGCGGGGCCTCTGCGCCAGAAGGCGCCGCAGTCCCTGGAGGTGATGGCCATCGAGTCGCCGCCCCCTCCGGAGCCTGCCCCGGCCGAGTGCCAGTCTCCCAAGATGACCACCTTCCAAGACAGCGAGCTCAGCGGCGAGCTGCAGGCTGCCCTGACGGGCCCGGCCGAGGCCGCCGCCCCCCCTGCCGCTGCCGAGAAGCCCTCCAACCACCTGCCGCCCACCCCGAGGGCCTCTGCGCGCCCGGAGCCCAGACTGGGCGGGCGCGCCCGGCACATGAGCAGCTCTCAGGAGCTGCTGGGCGATGGGTTCCCCGGGCCCAGCGGCCCCATGTCACGAAGCCAGGAGTACCTGCTGGACGAGGCGCAGGGCGCCGGCACTCTGCCCAAGGAGGCCCGGCCCAGCCGCCACGGCCAGGGCGTCAAGCGGGCCAGCGTGCCCCCGGTGCCCGGCAAGCCGCGGCAGGTCCTCCCGCCGGCCGCCGGCCCCTTCACGCCCCCCCAGACGCCCACGAAAGCTCGGCCGGGTTCCCCCCAGGCCCTGGGGGCGCCTCACGGCCCAGCCCCGGCCACAGCCAAGGTGAAGCCCACCCCACAGCTGCTGCCGCCGACGGAGCGGCCCATGTCGCCCCGCTCCCTGCCTCAGTCGCCCACACACCGGGGCTTCGCCTACGTGCTGCCCCAGCCCGTGGAGGGCGAGGCTGCCCCCGCCCCCGCCCCCGCCCCCGCCCCGGTGCCCGTGCTGTGTCTGCCCCCCGAGTCCGAGTCCGACGTGGAGCCGGGGCGCCCCAAGAAGCGCGCCCACAGCCTGAATCGCTACACGGCATCCGACAGCGAGCAGGAGCGGGAGGAGCTGCTGGTGCCGGCCGCCGCGGGGCCCTACGCCACCGTCCAGCGGCGCGTGGGCCGCAGCCACTCGGTGCGGGCGCCCGCCGGGGCCGACAAGAACGTCAACCGCAGCCAGTCCTTCGCCGTGCGGCCCCGCAAGAAGGGGCCCCCGCCGCCGCCGCCCAAGCGCTCCAGCTCCGCCATGGCCAGCGCCAACCTGGCCGACGAGGCCGCGCCCGAGGCCGAGGCCAAAGGGGCCGGGCCCTCAGACGGCCAGCTCGGGGTGCGGGCGCAGCGCCGGCGGGCCAGCGACCTGGCCAGCAGCGTGGACACGGGCAGCGCCGGCAGCGTGAAGAGCATCGCGGCCATGCTCGAGCTGTCCTCCATCGGGGGCGGGGGCCGCGCCGCCCGCAGGCCCCCCGAGGGCCACCCCACGCCGCGCCCCGACAGCCCCGAGGCCGGCCGCGTGGCGACCGTGCTGGCCTCCGTGAAGCACAAGGAGGCCATCGGGCCGGACGGAGAGGTGGTGAACCGGCGCCGCACCCTCAGCGGGCCGGTCACCGGGCTCCTGGCCGCCGCCCGCCGAGGGCCCGGGGAGCCGGCGGGGCCCGCAGACCACGGCCACTTGGCAGAGGATGGCGCTGCCCGGCAGAGGCCTCGGGGTCCGGCCAAGGGAGAGGCGGGCGGGGAGGGCCCCCCCTTGGCCCGGGTGGAGGCCAGTGCCACGCTGAAGAGGCGCATCCGAGCCAAGCAGAGCCAGCAGGAGAATGTCAAGTTCATCTTGACCGAGTCTGACACCGTCAAGCGCCGGCCCAAGGCCAAGGAGCGGGAGGCGGGCCCAGAGCCGCCCCCGTCGCTGTCGGTGTACCAGAACGGCACGGGCACCGTGCGCCGCAGACTGGGCCCTGAGCAAGCCGGGCCCCTGGAGCTGCCCCCGCCGCCCGCGCCCACCGAGCCCCTGCCCGCCGACCCGATGCACTTGCCCCCGCTGCCCCCGCCAGACGGCGATGCCCGGAGACCAACCAAGCCGCCCGTCTCTCCCAAGCCCGTCCTGGCTCAGACGGTACCCAAGATCCAGGGGTCACCCACTCCCGCCTCCAAGAAGGTGCCGCTGCCAGGACCCAGCAGCCCAGGTAGGTGAGGGGTTCGGCTGGGGAAGGGCCTTGCCCCACCTCCCCACTCCGTGGTCTGAAGGGCTTTTCTCTTCTCGGATTTGATGGCAGCCTGGTGGAGTAGGGTGGAGTGTCCTCAGACTGTCTCATCCGTCCACCCAGAGGACAACTCTGCCACCCCAGAGCTGGGAGGAGGGTGGCTGGTCCTCCAGTTGCTCGGTGAAGGAGGCACAGAAACGTATTAACAGTAGCACCAGGGGAGGGAGGACAGGTGCACGATGCTGCGTTAGGGAGGACTCTGACCCAGCGGGGAGGGACCCCAGCCCTCAGGAGGGAGGGCAGAGGCTTCCAGGCAGAAGGATGAGAGGGGCCAAGGCCCTGTGGCAAACAGCCGAAGGGCCGCACCTGGAAGGGGATACAGTGGGGGAGGGGGGCGGGCCCGGAGGGACTTGGAGACAGTGATGCCGCCAGGGTTTGCCCGGGGAAGCACACCCCTTGGTTGCCAGGGGAGGCTGGGGTGGGAGGGGCGGTGGAGAGCTGTGCTGAGGACCCTGCGTTTCCGCTCCGGGGCGGGAGGCGGGGTGTTGCGGCGGGGCTGGTGCAGGGGTGCGCTGCGTGCACCCCCGCAGCGCGCGCGCCCCCTCCTCCCCGCAGAGGTGAAGAGCGCCCACGGCACGCCGCCGCCCGTGTCCCCCAAGCCGCCGCCGCCGCCCACGGCGCCCAAGCCGCTCAAGGCCGCGGCGGGGCTGCAGCCGGGCAGCGCCAACCCGTCGCCCACGCCCTCGCCGGCGCGCCAGCCGCCCGCCGCCCTGGCCAAGCCCGCCGGCCCGCCGCCCGCGCTGAGCGCCAGCCCCGCCAGCCCCGCCAGGCCGCCGTCCCCCGGCGCGCCCGCGCCGCACGTGCCCGCCAAGCCGCCGCGCGCCGCCGCCGCCGTCGCCGCCGCCGCCGCCGCCGCCTCGGGGCCCCCGGCCGCACCCGAGGGCGCCTCGCCGGGGGACAGCGCGCAGCAGAAGCTGGAGGAGACGAGCGCCTGCTTGGCGGCGGCGCTGCAGGCCGTGGAGGAGAAGATCCGGCAGGAGGACGCGCAGGGCCAGCGGTAGGTGCGGGGCGGGCCCGGCTGGGCCTGGGTGAGCGAAGATGTAGGGGACGGGCTCGGGCTGAGATGGGGAGGGGAGAGGGGGGCGTAGCCATTGCACTGAGGACGTGGTTCTGGGCACCTTATACAGTGGGCGGGGCCTGCACACCACCCCGTCAGTCCCACTCCGAGGCGGCTGCGCTCCGCTGGGATGGGGGGCGGGTGTTGGGGGTTAGAGACCTTGGAGCGCGGCTCCGCCCACACACTGCTGATTGGGTGGGAGGCGTGGTCTGCGCAGGGGCGGGGCGTGGTCTGCGCAGGGGCGGGGCGTGGTCTGTGCAGGGAAGGGGTACGGCCTTTTTCTGCCGACCCCACCACGCCCCCCTCTTCTCACACCGCGCCCACCAGCCCCTCCGCCTCGGAGAAGAGCACGGGCAGCATCCTGGACGACATCGGCAGCATGTTCGATGACCTGGCGGACCAGCTGGACGCCATGCTGGAATGACGTGGCACACGTGGGGCCCTCCTATGCTGCCCGGGCTCTGGCTGCACAGACCTTTACCTCAGGATGGGCATTTCTGGGCGCAGCGCAAGTGGGCGGCCGAGGGGGACGGAGTGCGGAGGACAGCCTGCCAGGGCCACCAGGTGGGGGCAGGTCGTGCTGCCCTGTCCCTGCATAAGCACAACTCCTGCCCCCTGGGCCCAGGCAGGATGCCCGGCGTGGAAGACTGCCTGGCCTAGGGACCCAAGGGCTCTGGACAGATGCTGCTGCTCTGTGGGTGCCTGTCCCTGTCTGCTGCTCCCTGTGCAATAACTGCTGGGCCACCTGCCCACCCACCACCAGGCTCTGCCCAGTGTGTAGAGAAGGGGCAGCCCCTGGCACCCCTGCCCTGAACCCACGTTGGGCCCACCTTGGAGGCAGTGGGAGGGGGGGCGGCCACGGCAGCCCCCTCCCCGATCAGTGGCAGAGCACAGGCCTATGCCCAGCACAGAACTGCCCACTGGGGACCTCTGCCAGCTGCTCTGGCACAGCACAAGGGGCAGGGGGAAGGACCCCTGCCCTACTCTACCCCACAGAATATAAGCTATTGAGAGTATTAATTTATTGGGAATAAGCTGAGGCAAATTTCCCTAGAGAAACAAAAAGGTATAACTTTAACGAATATATATTTAAAGAAAGAAAAAAAATATTATTGATTCTATAGAAAACCATTTACCAACCGCAAGGACACTGGAGTCTAGCTCGAGGCAAAAGCTGTTATAGGCCCTGGCACCTGTCTGTCCTTCCCCTCTAGCCAGGAGCGGCCAGACCCCTGGGCCCGTAGCACAAACAGCAGGCTGGGGTCTGTGCTCCACGAGGGCCTCCCTCTGCTCTCTCTAACTTCTGTGTGTCTCAAGAACTCGAAGGATGTGCCTTGCTGCTGGGCTGTGTCCTCCGTGCCGCAGAGACGGGGGGAGGGCTCCCTCCTCTCTGGGGGATGCTGCGGGAAGGTCTGCCTGGGTTTGGGGGAAGCCACGTGCACAGCGTGCAGTGGAGGTCGCCGGAGGACCGCAGTGGGTGCAGGTGTGCATGCCAGGCTGCGTGCGTGCGGCGCGTGTGATGGTGTGCCTGACCCTCCCGCCCCGGGCTCCGAGCAGGCAGCCAGCCCACCCCCGTCCGAATCCCCACGGATGCTTCTGCTCGTGGTCCAAGGCTGTGTCGTGTGGTTGTTCTCGCCTCTCCCTCCTCGCCCCCTCCAAAAAAGTACTGACCAGCCTCCTCTCTTGTGTTTGCTGATCCACGTGTGTTGGACACAACTTTGACATTTCTTAAAAAAAAAAAAAAAATTCAAAAATGCCAAAAACCAGCAATTGTGACGCAGGTGGGTGGAGTTGATCAGCCGAGGTGGCATCGAGGAACGTGAGGCCCCTTTCAGTGGTCGTGTGATGGCGCTTTCCCTAGTGGATTCACCTGCTCGTCCACCTGGCCTCTCCTTAGCGGGCGGCCAGGGCTGGGGCTCCAGCAGGTCGGGAGGGGGGTCTGGGCAGGGAGGTACTCTTGGCTGTCAATAAACAGCAGAAAATGGCCTGGCTCACTTTTTGGTGGTGTGTGTTGGGAGAATGGTGGTGGTGGTGGTGGTGGTGGGGAGGGGGGAAGGGGGAGGTTTGGCCTATCCATGGAAGGGAGAGGAAGTCAACCGAGAGGGCTACATCCTGGGGTCAACAGACAACAGGAACCCTTTCTGTGACCTGTCCCAGCTTCCCTCCCACGGGCCTGGGCACACCATATTCTTGGGCAGCCTTTCCGTCATCCCGGGACCATCCCTACTCACAGCCACAGTCTGTGCAGCTTTTATTTCAATCGGAAGTAATCAAATCTATGTACAGTCTAAAAACAATAGAAAAGGTGAGTAAAAAGGCCCTGTAGTCCATCAGGAATGGGGATGGAGGGTGGACCGGGCGAGCATTATACCTGGAGTGTAGAGAGGGGGTCTGGGCACTGTCCTGGCAGCAATGGTGACAGAGCCAGGCAGACCGAGACTTGCCGGGTGCAGGATCGAGACAGCGCCTGGCCAGGTGAGCCTGCCCGCCTATCCCCTAACGGGCAGGCAGAGACCCCGAGCCCAGCCGGGCTTCCACAGGCCTAGGGTGGGCCCGGAAGAAGCCAAGAACTGGCCTGGATTTTGTCAGCAAGTCCAAACCTGTGGAGGAAGGGCTCTGTTTCAGGTGCCCCCCACCGGCTATCCTGCCCCAACACCACCTGCTGTTCAAACCTGCCCGCCACTGCCACTGCCACTGCCACTGCCACTGCCCGGGCTGCTGGCCCCTCCCCCCAACACCCTGCTCTCCCCGTGCCTTCAGCCCCTTGGGATGGCCCCGGCCAAGGCTCTGACCTTCACGGTGCTGTCCACAGCCCCTGAGAAGAGCCGGCCCCGGGACACGGCCAGCGCAGTTACACTGCCCTGGTGACGCAGCAGGGTCTGCGTGCAGATCATGTTGTCCATACTCCAGACCTGGGGGCACATAAGACATGAGGACTGCCAGGCCAGGCTACCCGCCCTGAGCCTCCCACTGTCACCAGGCCAGCACGGACCCTGAGAGACCGGTCATAGGATGCGCTGAAGACTTTGGTCTGGTCTGGTGTAGAGATGACCGCCAGGGCATACACAGTGCCCACGTGGCCCGTCAGGGTCCGAACCTGCTCCTTGGACTCGATGTCCCACACCTAAGTGATGGCACAGGCACGTCAGAGACGGGTGGGAGAGGACAGGGCCCCAGGGTCGGGCCTTGCCCCGGGTGTCCACCCTTACGTGGATGAGGTTCTCGTAGGTGCCACAGACAATGTGGTGATTCGTCACGGCGATGGAGTACACACTGCCACCAGACGTCTGTAGGACGTGGATGCAGTCGAGGGTCCGGATATCCCAGATCTATGGGCAAGCGCAGACCGCTTGGTGCTAGGCCAGGGCCTCTGGGGCTTCAGGCATGTGGGCAGCCCCCCCACCGCCCAGGTTGTGTGTGAGGGTCTCCCTGTCCCGGTGGGAAGGGGGCAGGGCAGCGCTGGCACAGCGAGGGGCCCTGCCTCCAGGAACGTGGCAAAGGGGTACCTTGATTGTCTGGTAGGAGCCACTGTACAGGTAGCTCTGGGCAGCCACCAGGGCCCGCACCCAATGGTTGAGGCCTGTCAGCTCCTTCTTCAGCTTCAGCTCAGTGCCCACAATGTCCCAGACCTGTGAGAACGCTGTCAGCACGGGCTGGGTGGCCGGGCATCCGCACCCTACAGCCTGGCACACGCACGCACGCACGCTGCCTTGCCTGACCTTGATGGCCTTCAGGGACCCGCTGAAGAGCATGTTGTGAGAGGAGACCAGCGTGCACACCGGGTTGTCATGGGCCCGGATCGTGTTCACTTTCTGCAGGTTCTGGATATCCCACACCTGGGGGTGGAGGACAGGAAGCCTCAGCACCCGCACTGCTGCCCCTGAGCCCAGGCCCCAGCGTGCCTGGGCCTCCCACACACTAACACGTGGCCTGGCCCCTCCCACGCGCCCTACTCACAATGATGGTGCAGTCTGCTGAGCCGCTGTAGAGCTTGCACCTGGGGAAGCAAAGCTAGGGTGTTGGGGCAGAAGGCACTGTCCTCACGGGCATGGCCCTGCAGTGAAGGGAGCACTGGCCACCAGGAATCGGCAGCTTGGGGCAATGCCAAGGCCACTGCCGCTTCCGTGAGCCCGGGCTCAGTATTTCGGTCTCAGGGAGGGATGCTGGAAGTGGAGGCCCAAATCCTGGTGCCTGCCTGGCAAGCGCTGAGCTGGGAGGTGATCACCCGGTTAGCACTGCTGGCAGTCAAGCTGCTCCTTCTTGTGATTGAGAATCCATCCCCGTCCCTCCCTTACTCATGCCCAAGTACAAACCCTCATTACAGGAGACAGAGGGAAGGTCTAAAAGGGCCACCTGGCGGCAAGGAGGTGGCTGAGCCAGCTGTTGTGCGGTCCAGCCCCGACCCATGCCCGTGCCAGAGACAGCCGAGCTCCTGCCTCCACTCTGAGGTCCCACCTCTGCCCTCCAGCTGCCTGAGGCATCCAGGACCAGGGCTACGCTCTGTGAACGTGCATCGTCAGAGATGGAGGGCCCTGTAACCACAGAGATGCCACCCTGCTCAAGGTCATGAGTGCCTCATGGGAGAGGCAGACACAGCCACATGTGGACATGGGGGCTATACGGCCTTGGGCTCACCGTCCCTGGGGCAGTAGCATGGGGTCGCATGTCCCCAGCTCCAGGAGGGCCCATGGTCAGTGGGTACACACGTACACTCACCCCTGGATGCAGAGTGCCAGCACAATGCCATCGTGGCCCTCCAGTGTCTTCTGACACTTGTAGGTAGTACACGTGTCCCAAACCTGCAGAGACCGGGATCAAGGTGGGTCCCACGGGATCAGCCAGGTCCCGGGGGTGGCGTGGGGGGAACGAGGAAGCTAGCCATCCTCAGGAAGCCCTGCGTATGAGAGGAAGACCCGCCCGTGGCCAGTCCCCACCCTTCACCTGCCAGGCTACAGGGCCCACCGAGGCAGGGTCCCACCCACCTTGATGGTCTTGTCGGAAGAGCCACTGAAGAGCAGGTCCCCCATGGAGTAGACACACAGACACCAGACAGGGCCCTGGTGGCCCACAAAGGTCCCTTTGCACTTGAAGATCTGCTGCGGGTCATAGGCTGCAGAGACAGGAGTGGCTGTGAGAGGCACGGGGAGGCCTTGGGGACAGTGGTGGGAGCGGCAGAGGGCCCATACTCACATCCTAGGATGCCCATGTTCAGCCGTGCATTGATGTGGGACAATTCATCCTGCAAGGCCGAGAGTGGAGGGCATGGTGGCTGTGGCTCCACAGACCCCCTGCCCGCCAGCCTACGTGTGGCTGGTACAGGGCAGGGGCAGCAGCAGCCCTCCCCACCTCAGACACTTAATCCTGAGCAGGACAAGCCTCCTGTGGGGGCCCAATCAGAGGGACAGTCCCGTGTCCCCCACACCACCCAACCTTCCTGCTTCTGTCCATCGCCCGCTCACGTTCAACATGGACGCGTCCCTCCGGAACTCCATGAGGTCCTCGCTCAGCTTGCTCTGGTTTTCGTCCAGGACATCTGGGTGGCAGGGCAGAGGGTGTCAGGGACCAGGAGAAGGAGCTGCACCCCATCCCTTCTGGGCTGGGCTCTCACCGAACTTGAGCTCCAGGCTCTTCTCCAGCTGGTCAATCTTCTCGGAGAGCTTGCCCAGCATGGAGCGCAAGAAGGCGATCTCCTGGTCCTTCTGGGCCAGGGCCACGTGCATCTCGTGGAAGCGGTCGTCGGTCTGCTGGAGGAACTCCTTCAGGCCCTCAAAGCGGCAGGTCTCCAGGTGCGTCTCATATGTGTCCTGGTTCCCGATGAACGTGCACCTGGAGGGACAGGATAGCTGCCTGCCCCTTTGCTCACCTGCCCTCTGCCTCCTCAACCCTAAAAATCTCGCTTGAATCTCACTTTTGCGCTCACTGCAACCCAGATGGGCCACCATCCTCTCCACACCTGCACGCCCACCCATCTCTCCCGCTCCCATCAGCACCCAGCACCCGGCAGGCCACTATGCAAGGACTATCTAATCACTCTACTCCCACTCAAAGCTCTTTTAAAGGGCTACCCACACCCCTCCTCAGCGTGCCTCTTTCCCACTCCATCTCCCCTCTGCTCTCCACTCTGGCCATTGGTTCAGGTCCACCCCTGCTGGTCCAGCTATGAGGAGCCCTTGCCCTGGCTTATGCCCACACATAGGTTAGTTGTCATCTCACCCCTTCCCTGACCACCCCAACTCCCCAAATGCTCCGACCCCCGTGTGTTCCCATGGGACTTTCTCTCCTGCACAGCACCTGTACCTCAGTTTGCAATTACATAGTCGACGGTGTGGCTCCGCTAGGGTCCATCTCCCCAGGGACCCTGGCTGTCTCCCCAGTGCCCGGCACACAGGTGGATCTCAACAAAGGTTTGCTGAAGGAGGGACTGTGAATGCCAGCCCAGGCCCACCCACCCTCCTGCCCAGCCCCCCTGCCCTAGGCCGGCCCCCTCGAGCCCACCCCCGCCCACTCACCCGTACTTGGAGTGGGGACACTTGATGTGCTCGCACTCCTTGAGGTGGGCCTCCAGGTTCATCTTGAGGAGGGGCGGGCAGTTGGGGTTGTTGGGGCACCGCACAGGCCTGTAGTCACAGCTGCTCTCGTGGTCCCTGTGGGAGACAAGACACAGGACAGTCCAGCCCCCAGAGGCACCATTTCTGGCACCCTGATCGGTGGGGAGCTGGGGGCCATCGGGGCACTTACTTCCGGGCACTGAGCTTAATGGTGAAGGGGCACCCTCGGGGGTCCACCTCAAAGACAGTGGGCTTCCCGACCCCTGCTGCCCGGCAGCCATGCTTGCAGTGGATGGAGAGCTCCCCGATCTGCTCGGCCACGGCAATGTTGTTCACCACCACGGTCAGCTTGGCGTTGTCCACGGGACACTTCTCTGGAGGGGAGGACATGCTGACCCCGTGGCCCGCCCAGCCAGCCCCCTCCCTGGGAGCTCTGCCCAGGGCACTGTGGCCGGGCTATGCCGGGGCGAGGGGCTTGGAACCTGCTCCCCCAGCTGGCGGGCCGAGCCTGTTGGGGGCTTGACCTGCCCATCTACCTGCCCTCCTGAGGTGCCCGGAATAGGAAGGGGGCCACCAACAATGCCCACTGGCTGAGTGAAGGCCTCTCCGCTGACCCGAGTGTGGGACGGGGCCAAGAGGACTGGGGGCAGAGCAGGAGGGAACCCATCCCTGAGCCCAGGAGGGATACCCAGATGCTACTGAAGTCCGAGGCTGCGAGGCAGCAGCCTTGGCAGTAAGGGCGGCCTCCACCGGGGCGCTCTGCGTGCCAAGGCCTTGAGCCTGGCCCCAGTGCGGCCAGGGGCCGCCGCCGCCCGCAGCAGAGATGCTCTGTGCGGGACCAGGGAGAAGCTACCATGCAAACCACCACCCCTCCCTGGAGGGGCCCTCCCCCCGCTGGGGAACAGGGTGGCCGGGCCTGGGCCTGAAAGGGCCCTACCTGACTTCAAGGCACATCTTCGACAGAACGTATGCTGTGGAGACAATGGGTAGAGTTGGGGCATGGCCGTAGCTGGCCCTACCCCGTGCCCTGCCGAGGGCACCTGCTGGGCAGCCAGACGAGGCGTGTGACCAAGGCCCAGGTTCCACATGGATGGGCTGGCAGCCCACCCAGCCCCTCGGCGGTGCCCAGGCCAGGGAGGGGACAGCAGGCTCACCCCGCAGGTGGTGATCACAGGGTCCTTGAACACACTGCAGCACAGCTGGCAGCACAGCTTCACCGAGAGCTGCTCCGCAAATACCAGGGGCTCCTGGAACAGGGAGGGCAGGTGAGAGCAGCCCAGGGGTGCTGACATGGGCCAGGGAACCCAGTCTCCCGCTCCCCCACGGGCTTGGGCTGCCCTCTCAGGATAGAGGCACCACAGCTGGGGTGTATCCCAAGGGGAGCCTGCTAAGGCTAAGGGCTGGACCTGAACTCAAGGGTGGCCAAGCAGGGAGGACTCCTCTGGCTGTGTCCCCGGCCTGCTAGCACCTGTCCTCTACCTGGGATAGCAACAAGAAAGGGCCCCTATGGTTTCCTGAAGCAGCCCTGGGGGTGGGGGCCCGGCCTGGGGTCCTTGGTGTGGACCAGAGAAGTGCAGGGCTCTGACGAGGTCCTATCACCCCCTCACTGTGCCTAAGGGGAAAGTGCCCCTGACCGCTGCCACAGGACAGGAAGGGTCCTTGGGAACCATCTGCACCGAGCCCACCCTGCGCCCACCACACCTACCGGCTCCTCCTCCTCCTCAGGCAGCGAGAACGTGGAGCGCAGGGACATGCTGGACTCGGAGTGCAGGGAGCGGACGGAGATGGCAGAGTCGGAGCGGCGTGGGGTGCTGATGGGCGGCTGCAGCATGGAGACAGACAGCCGTCAGCCAGGAGGAGGGCAGGGCCGAGCCCCGGGGTGCACTGAGGGCAGTGGGGCCCCCAGGGCCACACCATCCTAGTGGGCGCGCACTCAGGCTGCAGGGCCAGCGGCGTGGGCATAGGGAGCCGGAGCGGTGCCCAGGCCCCCTCCTGCCCAGCGGTCCCGGCCCCGCTGTGCGGCCCACTCACGTCTGCCAACTTTCTTTGTGTAAATGGAGAGACTTCCTGCTATTCAATTCTGTGAGGACACGCTAGCCCTGCTTCCTGCTTCCCGTGAGGGAATGTGGGCTGCAGAGGGGGCACCGCCAGCAGCCAATCCCGGCAGCGGCAGCCCGGACTGCTGGAGCGGAGGGAATGGAAGGCTGGCCGGAAGAGGCTCCAGGCCCGCCTGGCCTCCCTGGCCAGGGACACGGGGCAGCGAGAGAGGCTCCAAGGGAAGTCGGACATCCTAACACCCTGGCCGGCCTCCGGGCGCAGGACAGACGGCCACGGGTGCCAGCCTCCGCCAGAGCCACCCGAGGTGAGGATGGGGGGGACTCCTGGGGCGAGGGCTGTTCCTTCCTCCCCTCTAGGCTTGGAACCCTCCAGAAGAGATCCTTCAAGAGCCACTGCTCCCCCACTCCTCCCCTCATTCATGAGCCACAAACCTGCCTCCACAGGCCCCTCCCTGTCCTGGCGGCTCTGGGGCCCAGTGGCCTGAGCCTCTGAGGGTGTGGGAGCTGTGGGAGCCATCCCCTCCCCAACAGCCCAGGGGGTCGGACCCACCGGGGGCAGAGGGAGGCTTGGCCAGGTCCTGCCACTGTCCAGAGGCCCGGCCAGTCCCAGGGGCGGCTTTCCCACGTGAGGACGACAGAGCCCAGTGTCCCTGGTTTGCCCACAGAAGCACCTCCCTCGCCAGTGCTGTGCCCACCTCCCTTCACAGCATCCCAAGTGGCAAGTGTGCATGGAAACACCACATGAGAGACCAGGGGAAAGTCAGAGGAAGTGAGTCAAACCATCCCCACGGGCAGCATGGAAACCAGAGAGCAAGAGCAGGTCCAGACAGGAGCGGAGCCAAGCAAGCCAGGCCCTGCCTGGCTCCGCTCTCCACAGCTGCCTGCCCTCCTGAGTGAGGGGGCTGGCACTGTCACCGCCCAGGGCAGCGAAGGGGCAGCCTGCGGGGGCCCAGCAGCCAACAGAGAAGGTGCCCAGGTGGCCACGGCCTCAGGGCCCTCACAACACAGTGCCACCTCTTTCGAGCCACCAAGTGCCAGGATCACAACCACATACACAGGAAAGTTGCTTCCTTGGAGGCCTGGAGGGGAGGGGAGGCCTTCGGATCCCAGCCACACTCCCCTGGGTCAGGCGGGGGTTGTGCAGGCCGAGGCGGGAAGGACTGGAGGGAGGGGAGCACGTTGTGTGACTTGTCCTCGTGAAGGCCTAGCGCAGTGCCTGGCACTCTGGAGTGTCTGCTCATGTAATGGATAGAACTCTTCTTCTTATCACAGGGGCCTGGCAGCTCAATGCGAGAGGCTGGGAGAGTGGGGGAACCAGGAGGGTCTGTCAGGGGCCACCGCCAAGGGAAAGCAGAAAGCAGGGCACCGGACAGGTCAGTGGCAAGAGGGCTCAAGCATCTTTGTGTCCCACCCAGGGGGGGGGGACTCTGGATCTGCCTTCCCCCAGCAGGTCCAGAGCCCAGCACCAAGTGTCACTGGACAGACAGGAGGGCGTGTCCACTATGATCCCAGCCATGTGACTGGGCACCACAGCAAGGTGCACTCTGCCTTGAAACCTTTTCTCCTTCTGCAAGGCCAGCAGTAGGGGACTCTCTGGCTTCCCAACAGTCAGCACGGGTTTTGTAGGCCCCCTCTGCTGACCTGTCTTCCTTTCCCATCTGCTGGGACCCATCTCCCTCATCGGAGCTTCTTCTCAGGGTTCCTGCCTCTTCCTGGCAACCCACCCCTCACCCTCCACTTGGGCAGCTCGAGGGCTTAGAAAATGGGGATCAGACTGAACTTTCCGTGGCTCCCACCCACTCCAGATGGAGTCAAACCCCCACCCCTCTGGTCCAGCTGTCCCTGGCGGCTACCTCTCCGTTAATCCAGCCTTGGTGCTCAGGTCTCAGGGGTCCACACACGCTAGCCCTCCGTCCCACCAGCTCACTTCCCACTACGGACTGTGGCTAAGGGCTCTGGAGGCCGAGCATCCCACCTGCAGCTTCTACTGGGATCTTGCCCTGGGAGGGAGGGCATGGTGTGAGGGGGGAGGAAGGAGTGTGACCCGGACCTACCATGCTGTCCTCCTCATCCCGAGGGGAGTAGGCAAGGGTGCTGGAGGAGGAGGGCGTCCTGCGGTGCTGTTTGTATGTGCTGGTGCCATCCGCTGCCAAGGAGAGAGGCCAGGATGCCGTGAGTGTGGGCCACAGAGGGAGGCCCGACTTACCGTGCCCAGGCTGGCTCCCACTGCCTCCTTCTGGATTTGAGGGCAACTTGGCTAGGGCTGGGCCAGGGGGCAACTAGGAAATACACCGGGCTCAGCATGAAACGGCCCTGTGCCTTCAGGGAGCGCCCGGCCTGCTGTGTGGACCATCACTAGCTCTCAGCCCTGCCCAGTGCCGGGCGGGGGGAGGGCACAGGCTCAGGTGGCCTCTGCAGGTCTAATCGCTGCTGCTTCCAGGCAGACTGGGGGTGATGGTGGGTCTTCTCTCAGGCTCTACAACCAGCTCCCAGCACCCCGCCCGGCCCTGGGGCCACTTTGCCCAGCTGAGGCTTGAGGTAACACCTGAGTGGCCACACCTAGAGTCAAAGGTAGGAGCTGGGATATCGTCTTATCTGACTCTGGAGGTGACTCTGCCGAGTGGGTTATCTGACAGCCTCAGTCCACAGAGGAAACTGAGGCGATGAGGTTTGAAGCTCCTCAGCTGGCACATGGAGAAGCCAGGATGGCAGCTCATTCCCCACCTCCTCCCCTGGCTCCACCACCACCCGGAGCTGGCCACCAGCCTTCCTGCTTCCTCCGGGAAGGCAGTGGGAAGCTCTCGCCCTCCTCCTCCTGCCTGTCACCTGGCTGCCCTCAGAAGGCACTGGTCAGGGGTCAATGTGGGCGTCAGAGAGCCTTCCTCGTAGCCCTGCAGGCGGCAGCCAGAGGCCAGCTGAACCAACAACCAGCTCTGAAGGCCCAGGCTTAGGATACAGGCTTCGACAGGCGACCCTGTGCCTGGGCCTCACCCATCTGCAATGAGAGGGCCAGCTCTGACCCACCCCTGCCACCGAGTGGGGTGCTGGGTGGGAAGGAAGGGCCAGGCGGGCCTGTCATTCACGGCCGGGGAGCCGTCTCCACAGGTAGGTGGGGAATTAAGAAAATGACTGGGTGATGAAATTAGAGGTGAGTTTATTTTTTCCCTCAGGAAAAGTGTCTAAGAAGAAAAGAGGGCTCCTTCAGAGGCTCTGAGGACGTCACCAGTGACAGAGGAGCTGGCATGAGCAGGTGTATGCAGTGGCCCTGCGACTACATGGCCACACGCATCAGAGGAAGCCAGGGAAAAGCAATTAAAAAACCAATTAGCAGCTGGTGTGCTCCTGCGAGGGGCCAAGTGCCTGCCAGGAGGGGCCCGCCACCCTCGTGACTAGGAAGGAAGCTGTACCCTCATGTGCCACGATCTCCTTGGACACACTAACTGTGGGATCGGACCTGAGGAAGGACCCAGGAGCACTTCTTATCCCCTACCCGCGCCTGCTGGGAGCTCGGAGCAGGCATGAGCGGGGTCACTGTGACAGGGCAGGTGAGCAGGGGGTGCCGGGGAAGCTGGGACAGCCCTCCCTAGAGAGGTGATGAGCAAGGCACCAGAAAGGAGGAGCAAGGGGAGGCAGGGGAAGGGCACAACAGCAAGAACAGAGCCACAAGGAGCAAATCATCTGACTCCTGCCGAGGGGGGGGAGGGGGCTGAACAAGCTGCCAGCTCCCACTCCCCACCCCACCCCACCAAGAAGGGCCCCACAGGGTGCCCAGATTCTGCCCCGCCGGGCTGGCCTGGCTCACAGGCTCACCTTTGGTGATCGTGGTGACAGCTGAAAAGGCGGGCCCGAAGGTCGTTTCCATTCTGGTCTGGAAAGAGAACTGATGAGACTTGTTGGCTCCAGGGAGAACATGGACACGGGTGGACATGCAGTGACATGCTTTCACACTCACACACCCTGTGTGCACATCACAGACACACCACCCACACACACGTCCCCAGCCCGCCCACGGGACCTCTCGGAGGGAGGAGATGCTGACTCACGGGGAGTCCCTTACCCCCGCGGTGGCGTCCGGGGCGGGAAGGCTGGCAGGTCCCCCCGAGAAGCGGTTGTACCAGGCGCTGTTGCCCGAGCTCATGCTCTAGAGAGGCATGTGGGGTCCTCCGGCAGCGCCTCCTGTGTGAGGAGCACAGAGAGGGGCCTGAGAGGGGGCGGCCAGACCCCCGTCAGCTGGCAGGGCTGCTCCGCACAGCAGCCTGCTCTGACCAGCCCTCCGCACCTCCGCCTTTCCCCATCGCCAACCCCGACAAGGGCAGTCCATTCCGGCAGCTCCTTCCCGCCCTCCCGTCCCAGGTGTGACAGGCCTGAGGGAGGGAGGCCCTGGGTGCAGGCAGGCAACGGGCACTCAGTTTTACTTTCCTTTAAGGCTTAACCCTTCGGAAATGCCCACCCAGATTCAATCTGGAGGCGGAGAGCCCCCACCCTGTGTGCTCCTCGGGGTCTGAGGGCCCAGGCTGGGCACGCAGAGTGACCAGGCTACACGCCGATCTCCTGCCACCGTGGCAGACACTGGCCATGCGCCAGAGAGCCCCCTGGATGATGCACTCGGAGCCCAGCTCCTCACAGGCCTCATCCCAGAAAGAAAGCCCCTCTGGGCAGGGCCGGGGAGGGACCCAGAGAGAGGAGCCACCTCTTAACTGCGTGCAGGTCACCCACCCTGGAAACAGGACACCCTCCTGCCCCCCAACTGTGTGGCTCCAATCTCCAGGGTTGGTGGCAGGGAGAAGGCGAAGTGTGACACCATCCCAGGACTCCAGCGGTTCCACCCCCAGAAGAGGGACCAGAGGGGCCCCGGAGCACTGGCCGGGCCGGTGCCGGCGGAAGCGGGAAGAGAGTAGACACTGATGACAGCGGAAGAGCTGCTCTCCTGGCGACGGCCCCGCCCTCCCGGGTCCCATCAGCAGCGGCCCTTCCTCTGGCCACGACCCACAGCAGAGGTGGCCAGGAGCACCCCCTGCCCCTGCCGGGAGAGTTGGTGGCCCGGGCTTAAAGCTGCGCTCCCCGAGGGAGGGAGGCTCACTTTGCTCCTAGGGGTGCTGCGGGAGTTGGGAGGACCCACCCTGTGCTCTGGAAGCCCCACAGGACTAAGCAGGGCTCCGGGTGGGAGACACTCCCTGCCCCCTCTGAGGGGAGCACAGCAAGGAGGGCAACTGCACAGTCCAGCTGGTTCTGCCATTTTCTCCAGCGGGCCCTCCTGACCTGGCCCGTCTGGCAATGTCTCCCTCCCTACACACCATGGCAATGCATGGGACCTAGGGTCCACCCAGTGGGTCTCAACCCAGCCTTCAGGTCTGCAGGGAGAGGGCTGGGTCCTGAGCCCTGTGTCCTCATGAGTGACCTGCCACCCCTGCTCTCTCCTTGTCCCTCTCTCCCCCATCTGCCCTTTCAAATGCCGCCTGCAATGCCAGCCTCCCAGCCTTCGTGCCTCAGTCCTCATCGGGAAGGCTCTCAGACCCTAACGTTGACAGTGGCACCAGGCACTGCCCCTGATTTGGGTCCAGTTAGATAGGGAGTTTGGCCAAAGCCCCCCAACTGCTGTGACTTGAGGGGTTGGGCTCTGTGTCTGTCCTCTGGGAGAAAGGCAGTCTCCTGAGAGTGGGCAGTGCCAAGCTCTCAGGCAGAGGCCGTCCGGAGCCTCACCTCAGCACCGCCGCTGGTCTCCCACGAAGAAGGAAGTTCTGAGGGCACCCTGCTTTGTGTAAGAACACCTTGCCAGGGTGAGGCCCAGAGAGCTCAGAGCAGGAGCGGAGAGGCTCCGCCTTCTCAGGAAGCCCAAGGTTCGCTGTGTCTCGGCGCCAAAGGGCAGGGAGGAGGGTGGACTCACAGGGAGGTCACCAGCTGAACCGACTTGCATTTACAATCCATCTGCTCCCTCCACTGCAAGCTCCCAGGGCTGAGGCCAGCTGATGGCTCCGGTGAGCGGTGCCTGAGGTCCGGGACCAGGGCACCGGCAGGCATTCCCCCTGGGACCACGGCCAGCCCACCAGCCCCTATGGGTCCAGCCTGCCCAAGTGCAGTCTGGGAGAGCAGGCGGCTGGCGGTCCCTCACTATAAAGTGAAGTAAACAGAAAGGCATGCGGGGCTCACGGGAAAGTCCCGGGAGGCCAGCAGCGGCCAGGCCCACAGCCCTGACACGCAGCCCAGTGAGGGGCCTGCAAGACTGTCCCACTAGGCAAGCCGAGCCAGGGAAGGAGGGAGGGAGCCATTTCCGGGTTCACACGGGTTCAGCACACAGCCCCAGCCAGGGACTGGGGTGGGGGACCCGTGCTGCAGTCCAGCGCCCCTCATCAGTACGCCCCGCCCAGCCCTGAAACATCTCAGAATTGAGCAAGATGCTCTCAGGCCGGTCCCCAGGGGCTGCGTTTTGCAATAGCAGTCTTCCCCTTATGGTGACTTCCGGCCCTGCAGGCCCAAACCCCAGCTACGGGAATGCCGGGCCCAGCTGTCCCAGGGATGTGCCCTACGCCACCCCCAGGGCCATCTCAGGGCAGCAGACTCTCCCCCACCCCATAGTCAGCCTGAGGCTCCCAGGCAGTCAGAAAGCGGTATCTGGAGCAAGAATCCTCACCTGCCTGAAGGCCTGGTCTCTGCCAAACTGGGAAAAGCCTTGGGCTGAGCAGGCTAGGGAAACCTGGGTGAGGGTGCGGAGGGGGAGAAAGGCTTTCCTCCCCTCAGCTCCCTCCAAGCCTCCACCCTGCCTGTTTCGAGACCGCAGGGTAGCCCAGGGGAGGGGCCCAGGGATCTTTGTCTACCCATGTCCATATCCAAGGGGCTCCCGGACCCTGTGGGGATTGGAGGGTCTGGGAGCCCCTTGGATATGGACATAAGAAACCACAGAGCCACCTGCAGTGCTCTAGCCCCTCTTTAGGCAAGCCCCCACCAGACCCCTTCGCTGAGCAGCCTGCATGGGAGGGCAGGCCAGCTGGTTGGAAACCTCTCCCCAGCCCACCCCCTGGAGAGGGCCCATGATCTATCTACTGCCTCCACTTACCCTCAGCGGCCTGTGGATCGGGTGTCGCTGGAGTTCCCGCCCACTTGGATCCTGTGATAGCAGCCAGGGGAGTGGGGAGGCCCAGGCTAGCCATGCTGAAGTCAGGGGCAGTGGGGTGGCCACAAGCAAGTCCCCACTAGGGACTAAGCCTTGCCTGGAGGCAGGTCCTCCAGCACGTCTTGCTCCCTCTGCCTGGCATGCTCTTCAAGCAACTTCGGGACAGTCCGCTTTCTAGAAGTCCCCCAACCCACCCAAACCTTTCCGGAGCCTTCAGTCCTCTCTCAGCGCCCTGCTTCTTCCATAGCACCCACCCCATTCTCAGTGAGTGTGTCTGTATATTATCAGCCCTACACCCTGTCTAGATCACTGGTTGTCGGGGGGGGGGGGATTTTTGTCCCCCTAGGAGATGTTTGACAACATCTGGAGACGTTTCTGGTTGTCACAGCGGGGCTGGGAAAGGTTACTGGCTTCCACCGGGTTGAGACCAGGGATGTGGCTCAACATTCTAAAAGGCACAGCAGAGGAGGGTTGGCGCTGAGTGTCCACAGTGACGGGGTTGAGCAATCCATCCTACACCAGAAGAGCCTATGAGAACCGCGATCACGCTCTCCACGGTCTTCCGGCGCCCACCCCGGTGCCGGGCACACCGGCGGCGCTCAATAAATGCAGGAAGAAGGGATGAATAAAGAGGAAGAGGGGGGAAAGAATGGAGCGCGCGCCGGGCCAGCTGACAGTCAAAGAAAGGGACCGGAGCGGAAACCCCTTTTCCTCTCAGCCCCGCCCCCCAAGGCTCAACCCTTCGCCGACCCCGAAGCACCCGCCCCCGCCCCACCGCGCGGCTCCGGGGCGTGAGCCCCCCGGCCGGGCGCGCCGCGGGGACACTCACCCGCCCGCCGCCGCCGCCCGGGAGTGGCAGCGCCACCCGCCCTCTTCATCGTGCCCCCGCGGCCGCCGGCTTGGAAAGGGACTGGGCGCGCGAGCCGGAAGTGCTCAGCGCAGAGCACGTAGGGAGTTGTAGTTCTCCGGCTCGCTCCTGGCCCGCGCAGACGCCTCCGGAGCGACTCTTCAGAAACTACGACTTCCGGCGACTCAGATGGCGCGGGATTGGCAACTTCAGAATCATTCTATGTAGCAGGTAGGAGTCTGATTGGATCGTTGCACCCGTCACTCACAGGTTTAATCTCTTCAAAAGGGAGGATCGCTCCCAAAAAAGAAATGCTATGGCACTATTGGTGGAAACAAGTAGAGAGCGGAGCCTATCAGCAGCGGGGGTGAAGGAGGGTACTTCCGCTTGGATTGCCCAATCGCTGAGGTGGGGCAGTTTCTATAAAAGGTTGAACCTCAGCCTTTTTCGTTCTTTCGGGATAAATTTCAATGCTGGGCCGTGTGCGCTCTGTGTGCTACGCTTGGAGAGGAATTGAGCTCCCAGTGAAGCGGCCAAGCTGCGGGGGTCGCCCAAACCCGTAGGCCGGCGTAGCCCGGGGGCCAGCCGCGGCCGGAGCGCCTCTGTGGCCCTCGGCATTGTAGCGAGTTCCTTCCCTGCTCCCCTCCCCAGTTCTGGCAGAGAAGTCGGGACCTCAGGACCTACGGCTCCCTACAAGGTAAGACTGGACCAGACCTGTTTTCCCGATGCCGCCTGAAGCCTATGATGAATTGCTTTAATTTCTGACACCTCGTATGAAAACTGCACGTGCAGTCTGATTATTTTGCAAGACTGAGGCTTCGGGCCCCCGCTCGCCATTGGCGGGTGGGTCTGGGGGTGAAAACACATGGGGTTGAGTGGGCTTCTGTCTAAATGTCAGCACTCTTTGCCTTTCAGTGCCATCGGTGGCCTGGTTGGAGACCTTGAATGTAAATCAACATCAATCAGTTCAGGGACCTGGTGGTAAGTAAGGGTGGAATAAACCTGTGAGAATCAAATGATCTTTTCATTCGAAGATGTAACATAGACAGGCGGATGCCATTTTGTGACTTAACCTAATGGTCCGAATCTACCCGAAGAGCTTAGCAATAAAGCAAAAGTGGTATGAGTTAATTGGGGTGCAAGAGTCTTTATTTTCACACCAAAGGGGACTCCATGGGAGGTC